AAGACAAAAAAAAAAAAAAAAAAAAAAAAAAGAGAGAGAGAGAGAGGGAGAAAGAACAGAGAAGAGAAGAAGGGGAGAAAACAAACAAACAAACAGGGAAAGCAGGACAGGATGACAAAGCAAGGGAGAAAGAAGGAGATGTCTTCACAGCTCATGGCTTCTCAGTCCCAGAACCCAGAGACATGAGACATAGCCTACCACCTAGCAGTAAGGGCACTTCAGAAGGGCCCCAGTCAGGGACCCCCAAGCCCAAGATACCCTGTACTCTGGACCAGTTTATTCTCTGGGAGGCTGGAGTACCCACTGTCCACCAGAGCTGGCCCCAAGCTCTGACTCAACCCCCAAGTCAACCCCCTAGCTATGCTCAGGACACCCCTCCACGGGGAGCCAGCCTGGATCCCCTAAGCCACACAGCTAAGGGAGACCCTGGGTATGTAAGTCAGGGTTGCCGGAAGTTAGGGAGTAGAGGAGTGACAAGGGCAGCAGTAGCCAAGGACAGAAAGGAGACCCCTGCCCATGCCTCCCTGCACTGGGAGCACTCAGTGGCGGGTGCAGTCCCAGTCATCCAAACACCACCTGTGCCTGCTCCCTCTTTCTTCACCACATCCACAGCCGGGTCAGGGTCCCAGCGGGCCAGGGCCTGGCAACTGCTGGCTGTAGTGAGGTGGGAAGGGCCGGGCGGAGCTGAGCGGGCGTCTGCAAGCGCCCAGCCACCTCCTCACTGAGTCAGCCATTGAGCAAGAGTCCAAGAGTCCTCCTGAGTTTCTGTCTGGAGCTTATCCTGCCTGCTTAGAGCACAGGGCCGCAGCGTGGGGGAGGTGGGCTCCACCCCTGGCAGGCAGCCAGGTCAGAGGAAGGTCCTGGGAGAGCCGTTCACAAAGCAAGGTCCAGAGAGGGAGAGGACGCTGCTGTCAGCCAGGTCCCTTGTGGTACTTCCTGCCCATCGCAAGAAAAGAGCAGGTGGGATGGTGGTTAAGGAGCTGGACTCCCACATAGCCAATTGCAGTTCCAGTCCCAGACCCAGTGGCTTGAAAATCACGCCAGGCGTGCGTATGTGCGTGCCCAGCAGGCCCACCAAGAGCTTTCATATGCCCATCTCAACAGCACAGTCTATCAAAGGACCTGGGCAACAACGAAAAGCTCACTGAAGGCTAACTGCACCTTGCACGTTGGGACCTCAGTTCTCCAAGGTCTAGAGAACGCATGGTAGAATATTATTTTTTAAGTGTTTGTGGGACCTTCCTGAACATGCCCGAGACCAGTCATATATTCTGGAACCCCAGGGGCTCTGGGTGACTAACTGGACTCTGTCCATCTGCCATCCCTAGCACAGAGGAGCGAGCAGCTCACCCCTCCACTCACCTCACCCCTCCACTGCAACCCTGCCTGGAGTTTGGGTCGAGAGCAAGCAGAGTCTCACCCACCACTGAGCCTGGGACAGGGGAGGCGATCTGGGAGGGAAAGCCATTAATTAGTCACACCTGCTAATTAAATATTAACCACTTAGGAAGTAGCTTGGAAAGTTGGGGCGACAGCCTCTACTTCTCAGGGCTTCCCAGACTGTGACACAGAAGAGGAGGGCTGAACACACTTCCTGCCCCTCCAGCTGCCTCCTCCTCCAGGTCGCCCAGTCCCTCACTACTAGGTCAGGGGAGGCCAGGCAGGGCCCACACTGGGCTAACTCGCTGGTTCAAGTAGGGCCGACAGCCCAGGACTAGACGTCCAGAGTTTTGGACTCCGGGCCCAGTCTGCTCTTGCCTGTGACTTTGGAGAAGTCGCATGGCCTCTCTGGGCTCCTTTCCTTACAAGCGCAGTGAAGATTAGAGTCTGAGGCCTTCCCAGCTGCCGCACCTGGATCTGTACCCCTTGACAAAGCCAGGCTGAGCATGAAATCCACGGGGCCTTTGTCATCCCCCATGGTCTCCCCGGACAGCTCCTCCTCCTGGGACCCTGCCCCAGAGTCCACAGAGGAGGCCCTAGCCCCACCCCCACCCAGGAAAGGCATTGCTTTTAGATAAGGCAGTCCAGGTCGGGTCCCCACACTCTCCTGCACAGGGTGCCCTCCTGCCCCCAGACCCTCAGTACCCAGCTTCAGCCCATCCTGTGCCTCGGAAGCCAGCCTAGTCGAACAAGACCCCCAGAAAAAGACAGAGGAGGGGCGCTGGGCAGTGGGAGGAGGCCAGCTCCAGGGAACGCTCCTCAAGCTGAGCAGCTGGGGGCTGTTTCCCATCAAATCATCCTCCAGAGCCAGGGCCCGTCTGCCCAGCTCACCTCTGCTTGGCCTTCTGGTGAAAATGAAGGTCTGGGGCAACAGAGATGGGCTCCCCATCCAAGCCTACCAGGACCCGCTGGAAGTGGGAGGTGACAGTCACTGCCTGGGCTCTCCGAAACCCCAGGCCACTCTGTCCCTCAGCCCCAAAGACCTGCTCCCTTCTGCCATACCCTCACCTGCTTATGGGCTTCAGTTCAGTTCAGGAAACACCCCTGCTCCAAGGTCATGGGGGCGAGGGGCCTCTCATGTCGTCTCAGGAGTTCCCAGGTTCCAGGCAGCCACCCTGTGCTCTCCCTGCAGTCAGGGTGCCAGCTTGCGGCAATGCCTGCCGCCGTCCGTCCCTCCCAGGCTGCCGTCCGTCCCTCCCAGGCTGCAGGGCCAGGGGAACCAGGTTACTTGTTATGACTTGAGTCAGAGGGGAGGAGCAGGTGAGCAAGTCCTTCCTGGAGCTAATCCCTGTCGACTGCTTCTGGGCCTCTGCACTTCCGGGGGCAGGAGAGCAGGGAGAGGGGCTTCGCGAGGAGGATCCAGAAGGCAGCAGGGTCAGGTCCTCATCCCCTCGAGGGACCCAGTGCAACGTGCCAAGGTGCCAAGCTGCAAGGTGTTGCATGCCATCCCGTCCTGCCCCTGACTCGCCCAGCTTTCCTTACACCTCAGCTTCCTCTCCAGAAATTGAGGCATACGAAGCCCTCAAAGGTCGGGTGAAACACCCGCAGGAAATTTGCCAGCTGATGGCAATGGGTCTTCCTGATACCCTGAAATAGCGACCAATGTCGGATTTTAAAAGGCCAGCGGGCCGGCAGGTGGTGGTAAAGGTGGGGAGGGTACCTCTACTTTCCTTCTGTGTGTGTGTGTGTGTGTGTGTGTCTTTCTCCAGCCAGGACATAGGTCCTCTAGCAAAAACAATTTTAAACTTTAAAAAAAAAAAAAGCCTCAGCAAGGCAGAGTCCTGGAATTTTCTATGCCTTGGGTTCCTGGGGGGGGGGACCAGGCTGTTCCTTTTTTATCCCAGACACTCCCCTGCAGGAGCATCAAGCCCTTCCCTGTTTGTCATTTACATCCATCCCCCAGCAACACAGTCCATGGGACGCTAACCCAAACCCCAATCTGTCCCCTACTCCACAGGAGGGCCACTGTGACCCCAGGCTCTAAGCAAGGATCCAGATACCAAAATGGAACATAAGAAAATAAGCCTCCAGGTCTCCCACCCCAATGACCTTCAAGGAAATGAAAAACCGGAATCCAGCCTAATTCACAAAGTGAGTGGGAAGGGCAGGGGGAGGGGGCAGAGCAGAGCTGAGGCTATGCCTGTCCATAAAGCTGGAGTGCAGAGAGGGGCTGCAGACCGGGCTGCACCCCTCAAGTCTTCATGCTACCACCTCCCTTTCCCCTTGCTCTTTATCCCTCACCTCAACCCCCCTCCGCTCAGGCTTGGCACCTCAATGCGTGTCTAGGTGCTTCCCCTCCCCCAGCCCTGAAAGTCCCCTGTCCCACTCCCCAATGTAGGGACAATGAAACCTGCTCCCACCAAGCAGCTCCTTGGAGCAGAGCTCTGTCAACTCACATCACACACCTGCAGCGCCTCCCCCTCACCAGCGCCCCCACACCCCTCCACACACCCAGCACACCTTCACATTCCTGCCACACCCTCTCCAAACAATGCTAGCCCCGAGTCCTCCAGGCTGGCCATCTCCTCGTCTCCCAAGGCTGAGGCTGAGGGGCCCAAACAGGGGACAATCTCCTCGCCAACCCATGGTGGGAGTGTGTTCTCTGGGTCTCCCAGAGGGCCACCAAGCCCTCGCTTTCCCTGGCAAAGTCCCCTCCTCAGCTTAGCAAGCCCTCCCATCCCCCACAGGTGCTTTCTTGCAAAGTCAGAGAGGGGTGGACTGGCCCTTCCTTCACCTGCCCATCCCCCAGCTCCAGGTGGGGGGAGGTGGAAACTTCTAGATTCAGCTCCTAACTCATAGCGGTGTATGTTAATGCACGAAACAAAATTTAAGGACTCACTAAAAGAACCAATCATCCTGAAATGCAGTTATAAAAACAGAAAGACAGCAAAATATATGCTTCTTTATTAACATTCCACAGGACCTAGCAGTGGGAAAAGAGCACACAAGTGATGAACCTAAACACGGCAGCCGCAACTGCAGTGCGATCGAATCGGTGACTTCCTAATACTAATGGCAAAGTCACAGCTACGACCAGCGCCCCTGTGGCTTATCGCCTTCGCCATGAGGTGATCCCAAACTTCAGCTACAGCCTGGTGAACAATCTGATGCATTTCCCCCCACCGAAGAGTCCAAACCCTCTGAATTCTACCCACAGATGCTTTGGTGCCCGTGGGTTCTGGAAGAGCCTCTGCCCTCAGGCACTCCACGACCTGAGTTCAAGAGAGTTCAGATTGGCAACCCCCACTGTTCACTCTGATCCTCTGGAATTCTCAAAGACACTTTGCTCACACCCCACAGTCCCCAACCCAGCAGGTTCCAAAGTGCTGGAAGGGGCTGGCAACCAACCCTCCTGCCTAGAAGCCTAGAGAGGCTCCTCTGGACCTAGGGGGCTCCCATTCTTTCAACTCAAAGCCAAGGGGGAGGTGAGCACGCCAGAGGCCGGCGGAGTTCTGGAGCTCAGAGCCTGACGGTAGCCAGGCTAGGGCGTCAGCGCCGAAGCCCCAGACCCCAACCCCAGAGCAGTATCACCGAGACCCCGGTAGGTAAGGACGTTATAGAATTGGGAACCTGACCTGGGCAAGAGCCTTCCCCAGAATAGAAAAACTGCACCTCTTCCGGACTGTCATTTCCAAAGGCGAAGTTCTGAATTAGACTCCCCCGCCCCCGACGCACACAACCCTGGAGCCATCCGCCTCCAATTCTCTGAAAGTTCCTTCTTTTAAGTTTCTTCGGATACACGAGGTGGAAGTTCTTTGAAGCAAGGTCCCGATCCTAGCATCTCCCGGTCCCCAGCAGCTCCCAGCAAGCACGGTTCTAGGCACTGCTGAACGTTTACTTAGTGAATTAGCGAATCAATGGTCAGCCGAGCGCCCACCCTGGGAAGAGGAAGGAGGGAACGAGCCCGGGACCCTCGAGCCCAGAGGGGAGGAGATGGCTCCGCAACCGCTTTCTTTCTCCGCTCTCCTCCCTGGAGCGGGCTGGGGCCGGGAACTCCACGCCAGCCTGGAATGCGCCCTGAAATCAGACCTCTAGGCTTTTTTGAAAAAGCCCCTTTGTCCCGTCCACCCTCTCCCCTCCCCCACCGCGCCCTCCACGCCAGCGGCCCGAGGCTTCGCCCCTTTTGTTCGGCAGCTCTCAGGCTTCCCACAACCTGGCCGGGAGGTCCACCGGATGGGGAAGGTCGCAGGAGAAAGGTGCAAGGGTCGCAACAGGCATTTTTAACAGGAACTCGGAATCTCCGTCCCCTCAATAAAATGACCCCTTTCCTCGTAGGGCCCCCTCGGCTAAGGCGGAAGACAGTGGGACTAGGGGCTGGATGCCCCCAGTTCGCCCGCGCTGGGTCCCCCGGAGTTTCCCCCTTACCTGTCCCATGGAGCTCTGGCGCCGCCCGCCTGCCCGCGCGCCCCCCGCTCCTGCCTCGCAGCTTCGGGACCTGTTAGTCCAGGCCACCCTCCCTCTCCCCGAGCCTCCTCCCCGTCCGCCCTCCCCGGAGGTATTTCATTTAACTTCGGCATTTGCAGCATCCCAAATGTTAAAGATCCCAAGACATCTGTCCCCTGGGGCATACCAAGGCCCAGAGGAGAGAGGGGAAGATACGAGAAGCGATTTGAGATTCCGATCTCGGAGTCCGGGCGGGGCTGCATGTTGGGCTGGAAAGGTGCGGACAGGGGCGCGGGTCCAGTGGGGACAGCTTCTCCAGGGGTGAGGATGCCCCCTGCTCCCGCCTCCGCAAGCCCGCGTGTCGGGACACCCCCGGCGCGGCCAGTTTCCGCAGCCCGGGCGGGAGGCGGCTCCCCCGGTCCCTGGGCCGCCTTTCATCCGCGCGCTTCGGCCTGGCCGGGGGCAGTTTTCATTCCAGGGGAGCCCGGGATGGAAGGAGGAGACGACGTGAGCGCGCAGCGCCCCGCCCCCGCGGGCCCCCTGCCCTAGCGCGGGTCCGGGTCTCCGGGAGAGCTAGCCCGGATCTGCGCGAGTCGGTCCGGGACCACCTTCCCTCCGCCGGCCCCAGCCCAATCCCCCGGCTGGCCGAACTCGGGCTGGGGACTGAAAGGCGCCCGCTGCTGCTGGGGAGCGCCTCCTGCTGCCCATGGCGAGCCAGCGCACCCGCGCGTCCCTCCTTCATTCACGCACACACCCTGCCCTGTTCTCATTCGTGCACTACAGGCTGAGCACCTGCTAGCGGCAGGGTAGATCAAAGTTCAAGCCCCTTCATTGGGAGCCTCCCAAGCTAGACGAGTGATCCAGTGAAGCAAGGGCTAGGACCCAGGGCCAGGACCCCTGGTGAGTGCCCAAGAAGCTTGGGCAAAGGAGGCGATGCCAGAGGAATTTGCAGGTATGAGAACCTGAGACAGAAGAGCCAGAAGGTACCAGGCACAATGGCAAAGGAGCGCAGCAGGTTTGGTGCTGCATAACCTGCTGGGGGGAAGTTAGGTTAAGAGGAGGAGGAACGGAAGAAAAAGAGACCAGGTTACTGGGGCAGGCAGGGTCCCAGCAGGAGGCAGGGCAGCTCCATGGGGTGGTCCAGGCTGTCAGCATACTAAGAGGGAAGGCCCTCCCACGCTTCACCCAGCTGCTGTGCACTTTGGCCAGAGGTGCATCTGCCTAGAGGAAAGTGACTCTTCCTCATCTGAACAAAGATTTAAGGATTTCAGGTTATTATCCTGAAATTGAAGAGAAGCAGCTTGTATTAGTCAGGATTCTCCAAAGAAACAGGACCAATAGCATGTGTAGAAGAAGAAGGGGAGAGAGGGAGACAGAAAGGTTTATTTAAAGGAATTGGCTCATACAGTTGTGGAAGCTGGCAAGCCCAGGATCTGCAGAGCTGCGGGTCAGGTGAACACCAGGGGAGAGCTGGAGGTCAAGTCCAGAGCATTCTGCTGGCTGGATTCATTCTAGCTTCAGGGAAGCCTTTGTGCTACTAAGGCCTTCAACTGAGTGGATAAGGCCCACCCACGTTATGGAAGATAATCTGCTTCATTTGAAATCTATTGATGTTTTTTAAGAATTATTTAGAGACCAGCAGTTGAGGTCATGGCTATGTCGCTGGACTACCATGTAGTTGACCATGGTTCGAGTCCCAGACCCGGTGGCTTAAGTTCACGCCAGGTACGTGTGCATGTGTGCCCAAGATCCCAAGAGGTGAATGGAGGAGAAGGGATTGTGGTGTTGGCCATCCCCCCTGGGGGCTTATTTCTTGTTTTCTGTCTCTCTGTCTCTCTCTGTCTTTCTGGTGAGCTCACATGCCCTATAGCAAAAATCTCTCAAAAAATTATTATTTTGTTTAACTTTACTTATTGATGTATTTAATTTGACCAGAGAAAGAAAGTGAGAAAGCCAAGCTGCCAAGTCTGGAACTCAAACTGCAGTCAGCCATGTGGGATTCCAGGCCCTTAACCACCACGTGACCTGCCGGCCCC